TTATCGATATCTATATAGGATTTACAGAGACTTGCAAACATGTGAGGGGAAATTTCATATATTAAAATAATGTATACATATAGATTAGGATATCTCTAGACTAAAATGATCAAGGGTCTGGAGAACAAGGCCTATGAGGAGCGGCTTAAGGAGCTGGGCATGTTTAGCCTGAAGAAGAGAAGGCTGAGAGGAGATATGATAGCCATGTATAAATATGTGAGAGGAAGCCACAGGGAGGAGGGAGCAAGCTTGTTTTCTGCTTCCCTGGAGACTAGGACGCAATGGAGGAATGGCTTCAAACTACAAGAGAGGAGATTCCATCTGAACATGAGGAAGAACTTCCTGACTGTGAGAGCCGTTCAGCAGTGGAACTCTCTGCCCCGGAGTGTGGTGGAGTCTCCTTCTTTGGAAGCTTTTAAACAGAGGCTGGATGGCCATCTGTCAGGGGTGATTTGAATGCAGTATTCCTGCTTCTTGTCAGGGGCTTGGACTGGATGGCCCATGAGGTCTCTTCCAACTCTTTGATTCTATGATTCTATATAGGATTTGCAAAGACTTGCAAACATAGGAGGGGAAATTCCATATATAAAATTAATGTATATAAATATATAGATCGATACAGATATATAGGTACATAGGGATTGCAAAGGCTTGCAGGGGGGAATGCTTATATATCTGTAGGAGGGATTAACATGTATTTCAGCGGAATATGCTTTTATAAGATTAATGGATATATATGGTTTGCAAAGACTTCAAGAAACACATTCATATATAAACATATTTATAGATTCTATAGGGCTTGCAAAGGCCAGGAAACCACTTCCAAGGGAACAAAAATGCACATGTAAAGTTAATACATTTATATACATACAAAAAAGCCAGGAAATTGGGTGGGTTTGAAAGAGCCATACAAACAAGGACATGAAATATATCTGCTTTCCCTCCTCTCCTCCCTTTTGACTGGAAAAGAAAACACACTGTTAAGGGAGGGGAAGAGGAGAGAGAATATATATCATATACTAGCCGTCCCCTGCCACGTGTTGCTGTGGCCCAGTCTGGTGATTTGGAAAAAAATGAGAAGGTGTTGATTTCTAATATGTACTTTCTTTATGCTTGTGGGTAAATAGTATTTCTTGCTGTTTCTTTGTCAGTGTTGATGTGGAGATTGTCTGGTTTGCCTACTCTGGAACAGGCAACATATCATTGTCCTTCATTAGGGGTTCCTTTGTGTGTGTGAATCATATCTATCTATCTATATGGCTGGATGGCTGGATGGCTGGATGGCTCTTTGTCAGGAGGGCTTTTATTACGTTTTCTTGCCCTGGTGAAGGGAGTTGGACTGGATGGCCTTAAGTATTTTCTGTTGGTCATGGGGGTTCTGTGTGGGAGGTTTGCCCCAGTTCTGTCGTTGGTGAGGTTCAGAATGCTCTTTGATTGTAGGTGAACTATAAATCCCAGCAACTACAACTCCCAAATGTCAAGGTCTATTTCCTTCAAACTCCATCTGTTTTCATATTTCATATAGAGTATTCGTGCCAAGTTTGGTCCAGACCCTTCATTGTTTGAGTCCACAGTGCTCTCTGGATGTAGGTGAACGACAACTCCCAAACTCAAGGTCAATGCCCACCAAATCCTTGTGTTTTCTGTTGGTCATGGGAGGTCCTGCGTGCCACATTTGGTTCAATTCCATCATTGGTGGAGTTCAGAGTGCTCTTTGATTGTAGGTGTACTATAAATCCCAGCAACTACAACTCCCAAATGACAAAATCAAATATTTTTGAGTGAAGGACATACATTGGGATGTTAGGTGTATGCTGTCCAAATTTGGTGTCAATTCATCCAGTGGTTTTTGAGTTCTGTTAATCCCACAAACGAACATTACATTTTTATTTATATAGATTGCAAGCAATGGCCTCCTTGTTCTGCTGCCCGAGGGAGGTTTATTCAGCTCCAAAAAAGGGCTGAAAAACTTGGCTTCTCTTTGTGTATATATGGTATTTTATTTGTTTAGAGATTAGGAATCATTTCCAAACAAAGCAGTGTTGATCCTTTGTTTGGAAGTTCCTTCAGCTTCATTGGGATCTAGAGTTGACCATTTCAAGTTCCTGTCATGGAGGTTCCTTCCTCAATCCTTACATGTGTTTCTCCCCATTTCCCCCCTCTTTTGCTCCAGTTTCTTTCTTTCTTTTTTTGGAATAAAGTTTTATTGAGTTTTCACATAGAATATATATAAAACCAAATAGAGATTACAAGGAAAGTGGGAGAACAATAAAGTATAGCAAAGTAGGAAAGAAGACAAAAAAAAAAAAGAAGAGAAAAAAAGAAAAAAAAATCAAAAAATCAATAAAAAAATCAAAAACTACACAAAAACAAAAGAAAAAATAAGAATAAAAATAGAAATATGTTGACTTCCATTCTGCATCTCTGCTTATCATATTTTATTGAACATGTCCCATAATATTAGTCAGTTCTATCCATTCTCAGGAAAAATTAAAATTTCATATTTTTAAAAGAGGCCTATTGGTATTATTACAATCTACTTTAATTATTTTACTGCCTCTTTTCCTTTAAGTATTTTTCAAAAAATGACCAGGCAGTCTCTCTTATGGGATTTCCCGAACTCTTCTTTTTCAAAAAAGTTAATTTGTCCATGTCTTTAACTTCTTGTATTTTATTTATCCAGTCTTCAAACTTAGGTATAGTATCTATTTTCCAAATCTTTGCATATGTAATTCTTGCAGCGGTAACTATATAAGTGAATAAAATGTCTTTATTTAGGTCCAGGGTAATATCTGAGTCAGTAATGTTGAGTAAATAATACTCTGGCTTTTTTGGGAAAGAAATTCCCAGTATTTTTTGCATTTCTTCATGAATGAACTTCCAATATTCTTGGGCTTTCTTGCAGGTCCACCACATATGGAAGAAACTACCCTCCGCCTCCTGACATTTCCAACATTTTTTATCCATATTTTTATACAACAACAACAACAACAATTCTTTATTGATTAGTCAATTTTGACCATATCAAAACATGCAAAACATACAAA